GATTCACGTCAAATTTTAGTTTAAACGATAGAAATAAGCACACTGCAAGCAAGGCTAAATACATTTAATTGTGATTTGAAAATTTTATACGCCAGCCACACTTTTAGAACGTGAAATTCAGTGTAATTGTTTGCTGTCGGAGACAGAAAAATGTACCTACGTCGTATAATTTATGGCTAATAAAAGGGTGAGATGTGTTTAATCAACACACAAAGTCATAGAATAAAGCACTGCATCTTAAAATATGAAAGTCAGGTTAAACTTCTAAAATAGCAGTTTCATTTCAATAGGACAAATAACTAGTGTTTGGAACACTTGCATGCACAATAGTTACAAATATAAGCATTTAGTTTGTAAGTGTTCTTAGTATTCAGCTAATGTCTATAAAGCATTTATAAGGTAAATGACTTGCCTAGATAATTAAAAACGTAAACAGAAAGTCTGTTCACAGATTGTGACTTTATTAGCAAAGTGAAAATCACAATGGCTGACAGCATAAGACAGGTTGCTAAGTTATCAGAAAGACAGGATTATGTACATATATAATATGATTACTCCTTTGGGTTCCTAATGGAACATTGGGCTTCATCCGAACATCTCCACTTAATCCTATTATCTGCAGTCCTCTTCATCTGGCCACAGTACTGAACAGAAGATCTCACCTCGTCCTCACAGGATCTTATCTATGTCACCAACAGACCCACAACAAACTCTTCATCTCCCACTCGGGTTCTACCTAGAGGCATGACTCGTGATGTCACTCAACAACCTTCTCAGCCTGTGTCTGATGCACTCTCACTTTCTTCAAAATATTTATTCAGCCAAAGGTGGTTGGTTGGTTGGTTCATTCCCAGAGCCCCCTATTGCTGATCTTTTTTGATCGACCATCTGGAAGAAGGGCAGCTGATGATGAAAGTCTGCAACAGCCTGTCGAAAATGCTTTTCGTGACGAGCTCGTGATGTCTCTGAAGCATTAGACTTGGAAATCTAAATCTTTTCCTTTATTGTGGGCGCAGTAGATTTTCAAACTGGTTTTAGATTAGCGAAGGTCTGTCCCACCGTTCTCACCCTGTCTTTGACGTCTTCATTCGTTCCGCCAGTAGTTGAGACATTGCTGTCTAAACAATCCAAGGTGGTGACCTCCTTAAAACGTCTGCCGCTGGTAGGGACTGCTGTTTTTTCTTGTTGTTTAATTATCTGCATCACATTCACCTTCTCTATGTTCAGCTGAAATCATGTCCTCGCTGTTGTTTCTGACAACTTGTCGGTTTCCGCCTGTAGGTCTTCGAGTTTATGTGACGCTAGACGTTTTGCGGAGGTGGAGTGAGCAAATCTACAGCAGTCTCCAGGTCCATTTTTAGTAGTTCAGGAGGAATATCGTCCAGTCCTGCTGCTTTCTCGGACTTTAGTATCTTGGTTACTTCTAAGACTTCGGCTTCTGTTGGACGATTAGTGTCCACTGGATGTTTTGTGGCTGTTGGTGTTATGGATTACAAGTGAACTTGTATTTGGATGTGTTCGCTCCAGTGTAACAATATGCCTTATACCATAATCCAAAACAACGTAGATGATGTCATTCACAGAGCAGAATCATGCTGTCGTCCACCTCAAGCAAAACATCGAGAAAAAGAATTCACTGGATGTAGAGCTTCGCTCGGAAGAAGGTAAATTCAGGAGAGGCAAATAATGCGTTAATCATCAAATTGCGGCTCTACGCATCATTACCATCATCGAACAAGGCATAGAATGGCAGTTAAACGCCTACTTCAACTTCATCGACTTCAAAAAGGCCTTCTACAGCGTTGACCGAGGAGTAATTTGAAAACCGCTTCAGCACTACCGCGTGCAGTTTCCGAGTCTTTATCAACCTCATCCAGCAACCGTATGACAATGCCACATGTCAAGTGATCCACAATAGAAAACACAGCGAAGTTTTTGAATTGAATACAGGAGAAAGACATGGCTGGCTGCCTATTATCACCAATGATATTCTTAATTGTGGTGTACCGGATTATGCAGCAGACAGTGAGGAGCGACAAGGAAGCAATACGTTGGATCGATAAGATTAGCCTAGAACATCTAAACTTCGTGCACTGATTATGTCTAACGTCACGTAAACTCGAAGATCTTACCGGCAATATCGAACAAGTTTTCAGAAGAATCATCCAAGACATAACTTTAAGTGAACACAGAGAAGACCAAGGTGGTGAAGATGACCAGTCAACAACAAAAGGCACCAATCACTATCTACGCATGTGACTATGAGATTCCTCCAACTTGCTTTCAGTACTCACAAAAATTTGTCATGCTTACCAGTGTGCATCATTAAATAGATTGGAAATGTTGGCAAATCACAAATATGCACTGTGTGCTGTCCAGTTGTAAACGATACGAAGAATATCTGAATATGACATCGTAACTGTGCTTCCTATCCAGAACAGATCGTGTTTCCGAATACACTAAATTGTCCAACGTCAGGAAACACCGAATAAATTTATTGCCTTGAGTGTGAAAGTGGGTTGTCCAGTACTCCAGTACTGATTTTCAATGCTTCTCTAACTGGCATTAATCCGTAATCAAACTCGTAAAAACAAATCTAATCCTTACAAACCAATTATAGAAAATTAATCTGATGCTCGCTAGTGACTTGCTACAGGACGGAGTTTCCTGCAGTTCTAGTAAGAAAATGTGACCATTGAGGTTCAGCGAGTCAAGGGTGAGGATGGATTTCCCACCGATGACATTGGTTGGTCGTCGCGCTAAATCACACATTGGTGGAATCTACAATTCATGGGTTGGCCATTGAGTCGGGTCCCAGTGGCTTGCATTGTAACCATAAGGTCGTGCATTCGAACCCGTGTGGGGAGTGCGTACTGCCGATGATTTGGAAAGTAGGATGAAACAGTTTTCCAGTACTCCAGCACGGGTTTTCAATGGTTCTCTGATTGATATTTAATTTAAGAAAGTTATCTAAATTTCTAAGTTGTACGGGTTGGTTTGATTCAGGTTACTCACTACTGACGTAATAGGCAGCAAATTAATTACAATGTGATATAACTGGTTTTCACACACACCAAGAAAGCTGGTGCTTTAAAATGTGTTATTCACATGAAAGTAAGTCAATCTCTTACTACGCTTATTCAAAGCTCAAACAGAAGAAACATAACACCACGGTAAGCCTTTATTCAAGGTAAAAACCACCTGTATAATTTTCTAACAAATACGATTCAGCAACTAATTGTAAATCAGTGTTTGTAATTGAAGTTATCAGTTCACTTTGCATATGAAGAATTTTTGCTATTGCCAACAATATATCAGCTTAAAACTATTACGATTTTACACTACATAAATAGAAGCGTACAGGTAATTTCCGTTAAGATTCTACGGTTGGGCAGAATTATAATGAATACCGTATTTGAAATTGTTAACGGCGAAATGATGCCCATAATCTGTGAGCTCTTCCTCAAACGATCTACTCCATTTCACTCTCCGAAGACCCACTCGTCGCTTCACATTTGAATTTCACTTGAGCGCGATGTCCTTCGACGGTTCCCTCAAAGTATGCCCGATTGGTCCATGTCCATTTTCGCCTAAATATTTGTTGATCGGTCGCCTATTGGTTGGTTTGTTCTCAGCCAGCCAGAGTATCTTGTTACCAATTCTTTCTGGTCAGCCATTTGATCTTCAGAATGGAGCCAGAGAAGGCAGCTGTTGATAAAGGCCTTTAGCTTGTTGGAAATCGTTTCCGTGACACGCTGGTTAAGTTTGTGACCCGTATAAAAGAACTGTCGAACTTGACATTGATGTTGAAAATTTGAATCTTGTTCCTTGTGACGCTGAGTGCAGGAGATTTCCAAACTGTTTTCAGTTTGATGAAGTCGTACATGTCTTGCCCTTCCGATTCTGGCTGGCCTGCTTTCAGATCGCCATCCGTTCCGAATTGAAACAATGCTTCCTAGCCGGATAAGTGAAGGAAGTAACCTCTGTTAAATCTCTCCCGTTGATGGCAGTTGGTGCTGGCTGTTGTTGTTGCTGCCGACTGGCTGATTATCTTCATTACCTCCATCGTCTTTATGTAAATACAGGGTCCTGTCTTCACTGACAGCCAGCCTCTTTAGTCATTTTGTTGGTTTTCCCCTACCTCTAAGCCATCGAGTTTGTGTGACATTAGACATCTGTCATCTGTGAAATCCAGACCTTCTAGAGTTTTTTTGTAGGTGGTCCAGCGTATTGCTGTCTTCCCGCTCCCCGCTCAACAGTCAACTGGATTTATCTTCATAAAAACTTAAATAGTACTTTACTTGTGAGCTGGACAATTTGGTCATAATAATCTTGTTTCCCCGATGTTGTTGGGTAAATGAATCGTGTGCCGCATTGTGAAGATGAATTTAGGCATGGTTTCTACTCTTAACTAGTTTGATAAACATCAGGAAGCTAGCAGCAACTGTTTTCTGGTAACTCTGCCTATGTATATCAATAACCACAGAGAAGACACTTCTTACTTAACTTTCAGAAGAGAAGCTGTAGTTGCGAAAAAATCTTTCTATTTGAACTTAGCGTAAACTTAGGAAGAGTTACAATTAAATAAAAATAAATAGAATAAAACGGTCTTTAACTGCAGCACTGAGTGACGCGGGTTCGAATCTCGGAAGGGAGATGAGTGTCCCTTCAAGGTTGCAGATACGCCTTGCTGACTGACTAGTGAGTGCCAACTAGCACGAAACCTAGGTCAGACTGGGCTTCTTATGGCCGATTGCCTCCAACCATCTAATATCTTCAAATCAATGTGTGCACCGTGATGGTGAGCTACCTAGAATGGTGGCCACATTACAAACCTGACTGGTAGAATTCAGTCTGCACCAAACAAAGAAAGAACTAAACACATCACACTAGTTACTAGTGTCCAATCAAAAAAAGAGAAAATTCTTGAATAATTCTATTTTGTTTTTTGTTCACAGTATATCTTGAATAAAGCATTTCTATGACTTCACCTATACAAAATAACATGATTCTGCATTCGCAGCCATTGGTAACAACAATCAGGATATTTTTTAAAAAAAAAGTATTTTTACAGTAATTTTCTAGACCTAATCAGTATCTTGCAGTGGCGAATTTAGAGATTGTCAGTTTACCATCCCACACTGGTATATCTGCATGGTTGTTTGCCGAAAGTTTCTGCCATGGATGTCTATTATAGTCAGTTTCATTGGAATGGGCAATTTGATCCATAAGCTCAGTGATTTCAGCCTCCGCTTGCCTCTGTTCTTCAAATTCACGCTGTCTATCAGCTACAAGTTGCTGGTATCGTAGTCGTTGATCAGCAATCTGTTGTTCCAGTGCTTCACGATATGTTTCGATATTTTGACGTCTTTGATGTAGTTCATTTTCGGAGTCTACTTTTATTTGTTCAATTAATTCACTGAGTTTCTTCGCTTCATTAACACGTTCTGCTTTCTCTTCATCATGTCTTCTCTCTAGTAAAAAGAAGAGGAAATAAAAAGGGCAAGAATGACTGAAATATCCAGAGTTTTAGCTCTCTTCACAGTATGCGGGATAAACTTGTGGTCAGAAACGGTTGTTCAAATATGGCTGGATAATATGTCCTCATTCAAAACACTAAGGGTAAATGACACTCTCAGTAAGTTTGTCTAAAACATCACAAGTATTTTGATGTGATACCTTGTGTGGTAGTTTAATTCCGAAGTTTTCACTACATATATATATATATATATATATGTTAAAACAATTAGTTCCCTTTATGAATTTAGACAAAGCAATAAGAAGACGTAATTTGTCTGAATCGTGTAATGTATTTGACCTACAAATTTCGAACAATCTGATCACACACGGAATATATATTAAATCACCCTTAATGCGTTCAGAATATTCTGTTAGCTTCTGAAGCCATTTAGGAATATGCACTGAAGCCAGCCGTTACTTTCGGAAATCGATGAGTCCTCCCTATGTATGTGTGGCTACACGTACATTCAAATTGGTAAATACAGTGGGATGTGACATCATTTTTTGCATGTTCAAAGGGCTTAGATAGATATATTGGCTTCACATTCTCTATTATTATGATATTAGCTGCATAAAAAGTCTTTTTAACAGCAGCGTTCAATCTTTGTCGAGTTATCAAGCTGCTTTGATGCCCCATATAGGGTAGCGAGTTTGAGATTGGGTCTTGGTGTTCTGACTACTTTATATCTCCTGATGAACTTGTCTGGATAATTGTTATCAACCGGAGTTTGTGTCAACTTTCTTTCTGTTTCATCAAGTGTATCTTCAGTGCATATTCGTTGGATTCTATTGAAGAGGTACCTCACTAGGGCTAAGTGAATAATATATATATATATGTTAATTTTCTTGAAGATATTAATATCATGAATAAGAATATGTACTCTTTTGATGTAAACTCGTTATTCACTAATGTGCCTTTACTGAAAACAACTGACACTTTGGTGATTACATTTCCATACATAACTTTCTCATCCCGTTCCCTATATCTTATTTAAGGGATTTATTACTTCTATGTAGTTGCATTGTTAGGTTTACATTTGAAGGCGATTGTTTCCGCCGGGCTGATGAAGTTGCTATGGGAAGTCCGTTAGGGCCCATTTGAGCAGATATCTATATGTCATACATTGAGAATTTATCAGAGGATTTAATCGAAAATGTACCACTTTATAGAAGATATGTCGATGACATTATAATTATAAGTGATAGGTTTTGTTCCGCCACCTCAATTTTAAATCGAATGAATGAAGTTCAGAATAGCATATCACTTACATCTGTCTGTAGAAGAGGAAGATAATTGTTTATCTTTCCCAGATATGTCGCATACTCGACTGACGGCTTGATGGGTCAATAAAACCATCTGTTTATAGAAAACCTACCTGGACCGAACAGGATCTTAATTACCGCAGTTTCTGCCCTGTTCGGTACAAAAGAGACTTAGCAAGGTGCCTCTTCAGTAGAATCCAACGAATATGCACTGAAGATACACTTGATGAAGAAGAAAGAAAGTTGACACAAAGTGTGGTTGATAACAATTACCCAGACAAGTTCATCAGGAGATATAAAGTAGTCGAAACACCAAGATCCAATCTCCAACTCGCTCCTAAGAAAGACGTGTACATGGGGGGGGGGGCATCATAGCAGCTTGATAACTAGACAGAGATTGAACGCTGCTGTTAAAAATACTTTTTATACACCCAATGTAATAATAACTGAGGATGTGAAGCCAATATATCCATCTAAGCCCTTTGAACATGCGAAGAATGATGTCACATCCCACTGTATTTACCAATTTGAACCTACCTGTGGCCGCATATACATAGGGAGGACTCATCGATCTCTGCAAGTAACGGCTGGCTTCAGAGCATATTCCTAAATGGCTTCAGAAACTAACAGAATCCCCTGAACCCATAAAGAGTGAGGACAGTAGACCTAGCTGCTCTATTGCGAAACATATTATAGAGATAGAACATGACATTGATGTTTACACATCCTTTAAACCTATCTATAAAAAGTGTTGTGAGCGTATCCTAAACTTCGTAGAAACCCTAGCTCGCAGTTAGGAAGTTTAAACCACCTTTATGCGATCAAGGCAACAATTCGTCATCACATTAAACCTTTTATGGTAAACTTTTTTTTTGATACCATCCAGGGTAGATGTACTATTACCTCTGTTATTTGGTTTCGTGGTCCTCAGTGTTACTTTGACCTTGAATATGTCCTTTTAATTTGACCTAAGTCTATTTTCTCACCTCTTACGACTTTATTAATTTCTTATATATTCCATGTGTGATCAGATTATTCGAAATGTGTAGGGCAAATACATTACACGATTCAGACAAATTACGTCTTCTTATTGCTTTGTCTAAGTTCATAATGGGAACTTATTGTTTTAATATATATATATATATACTCCAAAATTTCCAAAGAAAACATCAGACATATGCTGTAAAAATCATACTTTTTTCCCATATTATTACGTCACCTCTCAGTATTTTGCCTAGAAGTAAAAACCGTTCCTGTGGTCACTAATAATAATAATAGTAACATTTATTCTTAATGTTGTGTATATTGGAGACACCAGTCTACATTCACCACCGATATGCTAAAAATGTAAGAAGATGTGGATATACCGTCCAATTTCGCAGACACACTAATCATAAAAATGTACAAAAACAGCCATTTACAGCACATCATACACCTAGAAATGCAGTTTGTAAGTTTATTACTACGACTCGCCATCGCACTTAATGAGTATGATATTTAGAATGTGCGTCTGAAAACTTTTCTTTCTGCAGGTATGCCATGCATTGTGTTTCGTGACGAGAAAACTATAAAGTCAGTGGGTAGTCGACCTGGCACAAGGAGAGAGGTATGGTTGCAAACTAACCATTCATCTTCTATGTAGATTTTACATATATTCACTTTAGTCCTGCCACCGGACACTGTACAAGAGAGTGTATTCCAGAAGGTTGGGCTTCTGATTGTTGCAGATGTTCTCCAGGGGAGAAATGTCTTGTTGTTTACATATGAAGTAAGTGGAATTTGGAAAACCTACTTAGTGAAAGGCTCTTTAAAAAACCTTGGAATTTTACCTCGTTAATTGAATGTTATCTTTAGTTCTATTGGACAGTGTCAGACGAAGAAATGCCTGATGAAGCCTGACGGTATGAATGAATATACTGTTCACTCAGAAGCAGATGCATTTATCGATCGTCACCGCTTTGACTTACAGCGGCGTTCACGATTGTTAAGGCCTCATGTGAGATGTGTAGACAAGGGTGAGAGGACTTATGAGTCGTCATGTGTAGACGTCCCTATGAAAGCTGTCTTTGCTGTATTTGTGTCTGTTATTGAAGTTTATAACAACAATATTTATGATTTGTTGCAAGACGTATCGGATCTCCCTGGAAAAAATTTAACAACCCGAATGCTGCGTGAAGACTCTAGAAGAAATGTGTACGTTCATGGAGGAGTAGAGGTAGAGATTAAATCAGCTCAGAAATGCTGTTGGATCAGACAGACGGTCCTTAACTTCGAATCCAGTCAAATTCATTGTGTTTTCACCATTCAGTTGGTTCGAACTGATTATGATGTGAAATATAATGGGGCTGTTCAGGATAAGGGTCTATTGTCATCAGTCAGTTGTGCCTTGTCGACCTCGCTGGTTCAGAACGAAACAGTCGTACTGGAACACAAAGAAATCGCCTGGAAGAAAATTAACAATTCCCTTATGAATCTTTGGGAATGTATCACAGCCTTGCGTTATATGCAAACAAATGAAGGTAAAAATCGTGAAACCTCTAATATCCCCGGTGGACCCACACGTGTTGTTCCCCATCGTGATGCTTGATTAACGTATTTGTTTAAAAACTTCCTTCAAGGTGGCAGACGTGTTACAGTGCTTGTTTGCCTTCATCAGGCACCAGAAGAGTATGAAGAGACCAATCATGTGCTAAAGTTTGCTGAAACACGTCAAGAGGCTACAGTTTATCGTACACCTGTTCAGTTCATATCTTTACCTCTCACAAAATAAACCGTTTGATTTTGAAGCTTATATGGGTCATACTTTCCTACATCGATCAAATTTACTAACTAAGAGGTAAGCTTCAGTACCACTTTGGTGGCGTACTTGTCACACTGGGCTACATTAGTGACTGACTTTCAACACACTAGGTCGTAAGTGTCAGAAACGAAAGAATAACTTGAAAGGAAGTTAGTTTATGCTTCACATATGGAACAGCGTGGCGTCACATGATATACTGTAGACTGCTGTTTTACCTGAAGGTCCTGGATAAAGAGAAAATACTATCTAAGAAGTTATCAGGAGAATTCTGTACATTCTGTGAACATTTTGTCCAGAAAACATCCGTTATTATTACTATAATTTATTTATTGTCATCAATATTACTATAAGTCTTAAACTAACTTTAATGTAAGTGTAGAGCTTGGGCACTGTGATAGAATGTAATTCCATATTAGATAACACAGCGATGCAGTATTAACTGGATGACAAAATTTCCAGCATGAACTATTGCTACTCGTAATCATATCTGTTAAGACACTCGCTTTCTCTTTCTATCTCTGAAAATTCCCTTTGTTGTCTGTTGCCAATCTCTATATCTCCAGGATAGGCGGTGAGTCATTCCGACTGCAATTGTGCGGTGTGCTGATTCCATTTACAAAGCTTCAGTGACTAGCTTCTCTCTCCACCTAACTGTATTACATTTTAATACTCTCACCCTGTCCCACCATATTTTACGACTAAATGTAAGTGTATGCAGTGCACTCGCTCAGCTCTGGATTATTCTAGGTCTAGCTAAATTTTTATCTTCCAATAATCTAACTTACTCCAATCTACGAGTTTGACTGACCTGTGTAATGGACCTCACAGTCATTGCATGGCATTTGGTAAATTATATTATTTTTCCTAATTGGATCTACGGGGCGTGTTCTTGAGCCGACAAAGTTTAACCCCGAGAGGTTTGGTTGGTTGGTTTAAATGTCCCCCTAATTTCAGCATCAATGAGAATGCTACGTAAGACCTCTGACGTTCTGTCTTTATTTGGCAGTACTACAGAGGTGTGGAATTCTAGATTATTTTTGGTCATTTTTATTGCTACTCGTAGTTTTTTATGGTTCTGCATGTTCAAGTATTGCTTTTGTACGGATTTTGTTTGATTGCATGGAGGATTTCATCATGAGCTGACATCAGTTAGAGAACCACTGGAAAACCTGGGAGTACTGGACAGCTGTTTCGTCCTAGTTTGGGACTCTAAATTCACACAGTGATACACCCATTGACTGGGTATTGGTTTTCAGGAGAGCCAAACACACCCATCCCTGCCTCTTGCGAGACGAAACCGGCATGCAGGATCATCCTGTGGCGAAACCAATCGAGAGCCCTCTCCCTCGGTGGATCATCGAAGAAGACATTGCGAAATGGTCGCGCTATGTGGTGAATTGGCAGAAGTTAGAGTTCAAGGACCATTTGATCGGGTCCCAGTACTCCCAGGTCTTCCAGTGGTTCTGCATGTAATTTTGAACAGATTCTGGTGTGTAGTTATTCACTAGTAGTAATATTTCCTTTATTTGTTTGATTCCGTTATTTAAATCTTCTGGCTTACTTAGTAGTTAGGCTCTTGGCTCCATTATATCGACATTTACTGAAACCTATCTTTACCGATTCAGGATAACAGTGAATAAAAGTCTAAGTATTTATTAGAGTGTGTGTCGGTTTCCTAGGAATCCTGTTATCTAACCCACCATCTTGTTTTTGTTTTCTTCTACAGTCTAGCATGGCAAAATCACCTGGTTCCTTTGCCTAATTCAGAAGTCAATAGGATACCGTCTACTTATGAGTTTATTTGTGTGAAAAAAACGAGGGATACGCTCAGATTTCAACTAACTTGTATTCTTCCATATTAGTTTGTTTATTAGGTATATCACACAGTTAGTGAAACAGTATTATTATTATTTACTGGATAACGTTTCGAACAAAATTTATTGTTCATAATCATATCAATTGTAATCACACGACTTTGAAACTTGAGTTTTTTAGTTTTATATTATTATTACGATTATTATTATTATCAATACTTCAGAGATAACACCAGTATTATTGAGTCGAGTTTCATACTGAGGACATTTGTCATATACCTTCTCAGGTACAATAGGTAGTAAATTAGCTGTCACACATCTGTTTTGTTCAACTGATTTGTTAGGCTAAATTGAATTAGTAGTAAGCTATATGTTGACAGAGGTTATGAAAATAACAAACCAACAACAACAACAGCAGCAACATCCAGCGCCAATCACAGTCAACTCGTGGGATTTGAAACAGGGTACTTCATTCACTCATCCAGGGAGCATTGTATCAACTATACGAGGAACGGACGAGGATGTCAAATCGAGAATCGGGAAGGCGAGAAACCCATTCATCAACCTGAAACCAATCTGGAAATCTTCGTCACTCAACTCAGCATCAACAACGAAATTCGGATTTTCAATACAAATGTCAAGTAAGTCACTTCTTCTATACGGGTCGGAAACTTGGCGAGTGTGTCAAAAAGAATATTTCCAATAGCCTGTTGCAGACCTTTATCAACAACTGTCTTCGCTCTATACTGAAGATCAGATGGCCAGAAAGAATCACCAACAAGAAACTGTGGGAACAAAGAAACAAAACAAGAACCAATCGCCCAACATATATGCAGGCGAAAGTGGAGATGGATTGGACACTCGCTGAGGAGGCCGCTGGGTGACATCGCGCGTCAGGCCAATGCTCGAGTGGGACCCGAAAGTGAAGCAGCAAGTGGGACGTCCAAGTGTGGGTGACATGGAGGAGATCATGTGAAGTGGAATTGAAACAGTATGGATTAAGTTAGACTCAGGTGAAAAGTACAGCAGAAGACAGAGGCAAGTGGAGGAGTGCAGTTGAAGCCCTATGTTCCGCTAGGAACCCAAGGGAACAATAATATAATAATAATAATATATGTTGAAATGTTCATTTGTAGAAAATTTTAGGTTGCTTCATTGTGACAAAGCCCATGTTATGTGTGTGTATTTACGTATAGATTTAGAGAAGCAACAAGGTTGCTAACTCACAGTCCGAGCCTTTCCAAAATCAGCAACCCGGGTTTAGCGAGTTACACGTTTAACTTTGCTAACAGGTTCTTTTCAGGCTATATTCCACATATTTCAGTGTCTTAAAGACGATGATACGTCATATGATAGTAGCGTTAGTGACAATAATAAAATTGATAACAATAATAATAATAGTGATAATAATAATATTAATAACGACACCAACAATAAGGAATCTAAATCATCAGTAGTAATTCCATGCAACGAAGGAACCTCGGAAACCGCACGAAGAATTCTTAACAAGGCAGGAATAAAAGTGGCTGGCATTCAAACCGCCCACAAACTCAGTGAGAAACAAGCTTTGTCGGTTAAGGGATGAATCATTTGGAGCCCTTAAAACAAAACAATTTGGTTTATCTAATACCCTTCTGGAATGATTGTCAGGTCAAATACATAGGTCGAAGTAGTAGAACAGAGGCAGTCAGGCTAGCAGAACATAAAAACCTGGCAGGAAAATCTAGGTTAGTTGAACTTAGTAGGATAAGAAATCTAGAGAATAGTTCAGCTACACCACTCACTACATGCAGTTACACGCAACCATACAATATAGGATGATGGGATAAGACGACAGTTGTAAAATCTAATGTCACAGGGTGGAGGGAGAGATTGATAACAGGAGCTTTGTTTATCGAATCAACTAAGAGAGAATACGTGTAATAGGAATGATTCAACACCTATCCACCCAGATATCTATAAAATTCTACTACCCCATCGGCGAACAATAGTAGTGAACAAAGAAAACTCAAAAACTCAAGTCTCGAAGTCGTGTGTTTTTAATTGATATGATTATGAACAATATTAAATTGTGTTCGAAACATCGTCATCCAGTAAATAATACTGTTTCACTCACTGTGTGATACATCTAATAAACAAACCAATATGGAATTACTCACTACCACATTGCGCAAGTTTTACACATATGTTAACTTGTATTCTGTTGTATTCAGAAATAACTTCAGAAATCTAAATAAACTACTTAATATAACATGGCATAACATGGCATACAATGGTTAGTAGAAGACATATATTATAAAACTATTCAACTTACTTTTCTCCATTATTTGTTGTCTGCACACTTCAGTCACTTCATTTTTTAAATTCTCCCTGGCTGTTCTAATTTTCAGTTCTTTATCATGCATAATTTTATGCTGTTTAGCAATATGTTCATCGATTATCCTGTTTATTTCTTTTTCATACTCTTTCTCGGCCTCTTTCGATTTACGAACATACTCTAGGTATTGTAGTGTCTCTTTCTTCAAATCAGCCTAGAAATTGAATCCCAATTAGAACATGTTTCTGAGTACAATCGAGGGTCACATACAAAAAGTCACTTACCAATCTTTTGTCAAACTAATCATGTTACTTAGTAATTATAAGTAGTAAGATGATACGAGATTAAAATATTCCGGATTTTGACCACACACACATAGTACATAC